CTTTGACTCCAGAGCAACAGGTGGATCTAGAATTCCTAAATGCTCCTTTGGAGGTTGAAGCTACTGTAAAATTTCCTTCCTGGTGGGAAGAGCCCTGGCCAGGATGGCTATACACAGGAGTATTACTTTAAGTTCCTTCCACTTCTACTCAGCCCTCTATGCAGGTACTTCAATTCTTTCACCAATGGTGGCCCTATTCTCCCGGAGTCTCTGTTGGCCCACATCCTAAAGAGCGAAAAGATCATGTTTTTGCCGCAAAGCTACCACCAGATATCATTGCTCCACGTGGACATCAAACTATTTGTAAAGATTTTTGGCAAACCAATTAAAGTGCCTTCTACCATCCATTATACACCCAGTTCCGACAGGATTTATATCTGGTAGGGAAGCAAGAGATAAATCTATCCGTGTTGTGCAGCTTATCCATTGGGCTCATTCCCTCCAGAACCTGGTTCCCTACCTTATTTTGTGCACAGATGCTGAAAGAAAAACCTTCAAAACACATGGATTGGTCTTGGAAGGCTGGGCTGGAGAATCTGAGCCTGGGACCACGAATGTTGCAATAATATCATGGCTCTATCCACAACTACTAGTGCACAGGTGTAAGGGACCCGCCCGGCGGTACCACTAGCACTCCACTGATCGGATGTTCCCAGCGCACGGAGTCTAAGCCCCAGGGTACTTGTTCACCAGGGCCCCTGATGGTGGGGATGGACTTGGAGTACCCCAGGAACCAGGTCGCGTGACTACTGAGGACACCCGTCAGTGGTAGCGGTATTCGCCAGGGGCTCCCACGGGAGAGAGCCAGGTATGAGGAGGTCTGGAGACCCCGTAGAGAGGGACGGAATGGATGGATGGATGGCTGAGCAGGAGCAGGGTCATACAAGCCGGGTCGTAACTATGGGGAACGGTGCGGTACAGAGCAGCGGCCAGAGAATAGTCGGGTCACACGCCAGGTCAGCAACAGCAGGTCAGATCCAATAGGGGGCATTCAGGAGAGAGGTCAGGCAAGGCAAGGGTCAAAACAGGAGAAAACAGCAAGGTCATGTGGGCACAATCCGGTCAGCAACTTACTTTTAAACAGGGTTCACAGGTTCACAGGATACAAAAGACCAAAAGGCATCTGAATGACAGCTCAGGGCCGTTTAAATAATCCCCGCCCTGCGCTGTCATTGTGCCAGGCGCGCGCCCCGCGGTCACTACTGCGCGCATGCGCGAACCTGATTGCAGCGGTCGGGGGCCAAGTCCCGGCGCTCGCGTACAGGGAGGGTGTACTGCGCCTGCTCCGAGCCCAGCGGCGCGACGGTCTCCGACAACAGGTCTCTAAGATAATGGACTCTTCTCTTCCTGGTTCTCCATACAGAATAGTACAAGACAGGTGGTGTCCACTTTTGCCCCTTCTTTTTGCCTTGGTCGTAGAGCTGTTCCTCCACTCTGTCGGGGCAAACCTATATATCAAGGAGGTCACAAAGAGGATGCCCACCAAACACAAGCTTTTAGCATATGTGGATGATGTCCTGTTCCACCTTACAGACATGCTTGTCTCCTTGCCTAACCTGATGAGGGAACTTCAACTCTTTGGCAAGATATCTCATTTCAAGATCAATAACACTAAGTCTGAAGAAGTCCTGCCCTTTACTCTATCATAGCCGCTAGCCTCCACCTTATGTGGGGCTTTCCCCTTCACGTGGGCCAAGTCCTCTCTGAAATACCTGGGGTCCAGATTAATGACTGCGTTTGAGACTTGCAAACCTGGAATACAACTGCTTTCACTTGGCTGGGTCATGTGAACATACCGTATTTGCCGGCGTATAAGACGACTGGGCGTATAAGACGACCCCCCTACTTTTCCTGCTAAAATTTAGTGTTTGAGCTATACTCGCCGTGATAAGACTACCCCTCTTCCAATGCACACCAGTGGCAGGAATAGTGCCCATCAATGTATCATTGGCAGGAATAGTGCCCTCAACCATCATTGGTATCCATTGGCAGGAATAGTGCCCCAATCATTGGCATTAGTGGCCAGGAATAGTGCCCCATCATTAGTATCATGTGGGGGGAATAGTGCCCACATCATTGGGTATCAGTGCGGGAATAGTGGCCCCATCATTAGTATCAGCTGTGGGGGGAATAGTGCCCCATCATTGGTATCAGTGGCAGGAATAGTGCCCCATCATTAGTATCAGTGGGGGGAATGGTGCCACCATCATTTGGTATCAGTGGGGGGAATGGTGCCCCATCATTGGTGTCAGTGGGAGGAATGGTGTGTCGCCCATCATTGGTGTCAGTGGGAGGAATGGTGTCCCCAACACTAAGAGGTGTCAGTGTGGGGGTGGAATAAGATGCCCCATCATTGGTGTCAGTGGGGGGGGGGGAATAGTGTCCCCATCGTATGATGTCAGTGGGGGGGAGGAATAGTGCCCCATCGTTGGTGTTCAGTGGGGGGGAGGAATAGTGTGCCCCATCATTGGTGTCAGTGGGGGGGAGGAAATAGTGCCCCATCGTTGGTGTCAGTGCGGGGGGAGGAATAGTGCCCCATCATTTGGTGTCAGTGTACTGTGGGGGGAGGAATAGTGCCCCATCGTTGGTGTCAGTGGGAGGAATAGTGCCCCATCGTTGGTGTCAGTGGGAGGAATAGTGCACCCCATCATTGGGTATCAGTGGGAGGAATAGTGCTCCATCATTGGTATCAGTGACACCAATGATTGGGGCACTATTCCTCCCACTGACACTTGCTGACCCTGTTCTCGAATGGTGCTTCTGCAGCCAGGCATATGTGGTTGTGCATGCAGCACCTCTACACTGACCACTTACCTGCTGGTCCTGCAGTCGATTTTCCCGCAGGGGCTCCGCACTCCACCGGGCTCCACCCCCTCGCCTGGTGATTGGCCGCCTGTGTGCCTTTCCTGAGCTACAGTTCTGGCAGTCGCCAATCACTGGGTGAGGAGGCTGAGCCGAGCAGCCGCACGAACATCCAGTGACTGAACTGAAGGCGCAGCCGCGCTTTCCTGGACCGGATCGTCGTTGGACCGGAACCAGGTAAGAAACAGCCGCTGCCCACCCCTATACTTAGTGTCCCTTTCCATTGGGGGAAGGGGGGGGGCGGCGGCGGCGGCAACGCTCCGCACCCCCCCTAAAAAGTGTCAGTATTCCCGTATAACCGGCGTATAAGACGACCCCCCGAACTTTTGATGAAGATTTATAAGGGGTAAAAAGTCGTCTTTATACGCCGGCAAATACGGTAGTTAAAAAATTAATATCCTATCTTTCCTTCTTTTTCTTATGCAAATGCTTACCATAGGCCTTTATGAAGAAATTTCCATAGCATGCTTATTGATTTCATGTTGAAATAAGCGAAAACCACGATTAGGGGGCTACAATTTTTTACAATGGTAAAAATGGGTAATGGGACTGTGTCTTCCAGCTCTACAGAGGTACTATAGGGCTATTGCTCTCCAGCAGCTTTTTAAATTGGCGCTTTCACACCCATACTAAACTCTGGGTTTCCCTGGAGAAATACCTGGCGGGACACAATCTATATTATGCCCCATGGCTGCCCCTGAAATACATGAGGACTATCACGGCAACGACGTCTCCCCTGACAACCCATGCCTTACGCATCTGGCCCCCTCTGTATCGCTGGCTCCATTGGGTGGTTACTTGTGGTTCTCCCCCCATTTTTGATCTTGGGTTGTGTAGATGGTAACCTCAGCATGTGGCAAGGTTTTGGAGGGGGGGTTACTCCCCTTAGAGGCCCTTGGGGACCATTTTGGGTGTTTCCCCATGGACATATGGTGCTACAAAACAGCTACTTAATTTCACTTGCCACTCGTGGCCCGCTGTGTATCAGGGTGGGGGTCTACACTCACCGCATTAGAGCAAAATGTTTTATAGCAGTAGTCTCCACGGGGCAGATGGGGGGGGGGGGTGGCCCTTTGATACTTGGGGAGGCTTTTATTCAATCCCTTTGTGGTACTATATTTCATTCACATGATACCAAACAATGAGGTATAATTCCCCTCTCCACTGACACCAAACTAAGGGGCACAATTCCTTCCATTACACCAATGTACCAGGATATCCGTTTCCCTTCTAGGATTTGTTTAAGTTCTCGAAGAGCAGGGCCCTTCGGATCCCCTCATGATTTTGCATTGTATTGGTATTGTTCTGTCACATGTTCTGTCCCCCTTTGTAATGTACAGCGCTGAGTGTTGAACTAATGATGGCGCTTTAATAAATACTGTATAATAATAATAATAATAAGGGCCAAAAAGGGGGATAAAAAAAAAACAAATTCCTCTCAAGAACACCAAAACATGGAGCACAGTTCCTCCCACTGCCGCAAACAATATTGCGAAGGTCGCTTATTCTTTTCCACTAACACCAGGAAAATAGGGCACTATCCCCCCACTGTCACCAAAGGATGGGGGCACTGTCTAATTCCCACATGACATCGGGATAGGGGAGTGTGGTTCTACTCCCAATGGCCACAGTTCAGCCACCCTACAGTCTGAAGGACAGTAAACTGGCCCTTTTGTTTTAGAAAATCTGGGAGACCCCTGGTTTATAGCAATAGGAGCCCTTACTCCACTTGATATCAGAACTGTATAAACTGTTGAGCTGTTTTCTGCCAATTGTGAAATCTGCTTTTGTCTGGGCATTATGACGAACATGACCATAGGGGTGGAGTTCTCAATGGACCACACTCCAGCTCCTTTGATTCTAAGACTCAGGAAACTAATTATAAGTTGCTGATATGTTGGTATTGTGTGCCCACAGCATTGTCACGAATGTACCCTTCAGTCTCGGATCTTTGTTGGAGAGGATGTGGGGACTATAGCACGCTCCTACACCTTGTGGTAGGAATGTCCCTTCGATTACCCCTTTTGAACTGATGTTAAAGCCCAGATTAAAAGTCCTGGTACATAGATGTTCCATTGTGCCCGCTCCATTTCCTTGCTCCACGTCCTTACCCTTCTGCTAAGCAACTACAAGGGATGTTCCTTACTGCACTTCCTCAATGTGGCTAAGAGACTCATACCCATATACTGGAAACAGGCATCCAATGTTCCCAGTAGGAGGAGGACTGGAATAGTGAAAGTGAACGAGATAATGGAGGCCGAGGGCTTGGTAGCAACATGCAGGGGCACACAAGAACATTTCACAGGGTGTTTGGGGCAACTTGGCAAAACAACGTCACACACCCAGACCAGGTTGAGTCCAGCTTGGATATTGTCTTGTTGAGCGTAACCTAACTCTTGTAAAGAGTTACTCAGTGAATAGTGTAGCCAATTCAATGGTTTTTTGGGCGCCTTTCTTTTTCCCCTCTGTGTCGCAGCCTTGGATTTGGTACTCCACTTGCCTTTTCTTTAGCGGCACCGCCGATGGAAGCGGTTGCAGCTCTGATAATTTTACACGTTGGTGTCCTAGAGGTATGTTTAATTCTTTCTCTCCTTATTTGTTGCCCCCTTTCCTATTTGTGTCCCCCCCTTTTTCTCTCTCTCAGCACTTTATTTGATCTTGGGGCTCGCAGTATTGTTACCCTGAAACTCTATGATGCTGAGGTTATTGTCATTCTCCAGCTGATGGGCCCTTTTCTTATTATTTATTTAGTACATTTTGCTGTAACCAAAGATGCTGCAGCTTGTGGTTTACAATTTTTGAGTTTTTGCAACACTTAAATTGTACTAGGCTTGCATACAGAGACTGCACAGACATTTGCTATTGTTATTATGATTGTTAGGTATTTCATTTTTATTTTTTTTTGCATGGAAAACGTATCTCGAAAATAAAGATTGCATTAAAAAAAAAAAAGTGAGAAACAAAAATCCAAATCTGGTAACATTCCATGCAAAAATCCAAAAAATGGACTGGACCTTTTGCAAATAGAGACTGTGAGACTTTGGACAGTGCGTGTTGGTAAATTTGAAACAAGAAATCAGTAGGGTAAAGTTTTGAACTATCTTTTGAAAACCATTTGAACAAACATATCTGGAATGTCTGTGATCCAGAGAGATGTAAACTGAGCTGAAGCCTTGTTTGAGCGTGGAGGTGGTCTACATTTAGATGTTCTAGCTAGGACCCAAGGGGTGCTTCTGAGGATTGGTAGGGGGGGGGGTGGTTTGTCACCTTTTTCTGAAGGCTTTTCGCACCTGTGACCTCTTAGAAGAAGTAGTCAAGTGCCTCACCAGAAGTTGTCAAGAACAAATTTTCACAGTCCAAGTCGTTAGCCATAGGATTCCTTGCATATAAATGGAGATTAGAGCCATTCTGGATAATTAACCCCTCATGGCCTTGTGCCAGGGCGCTCAACCCAGAAAAGCAGAGGGCAGTTTGTTTGTAATTGCTCGGCAACAGCACAATTCTGAAATACCAGATGGTAGGAAAAGCTGGTTATAGGGCTTGGCCTGCCAGGTTAGATTACAGCTTCTCAAATCTTCTCTCAGCAGAACCTTTAAAGGATGCAACATCTTCAGTAGGTTACAATGAGATATCGTTGTAGGATTCTTATGGGTGTAAAAAAGAATACTTTCAGGAGTGGCACGATACAGAGACATGCACATTTTATCTGTTCACGAACAGTGGAACATTTAAGCAAGTTTTATGTAGGTCACTTTTGTGCCCAAAGGGGAAGCGTGAGACAGAGGAAAGTCAATTTGCACTATTTCTAATAAGCTATCTCACACTACAAACCGATCACTTAAGTGATTGGCATTTGAAGTGAAAAAATCCACCCAACAACAAAATACAATACGATTTATAAAATAGGCCATCCAAAAATACAAATAAATTAATCCTAACCTAGTGCATTAAATCTTATACTGCATACCCAATCGCACCTACTTATAGATCACAATATTGCAACAAATACATAATTTGTATATACATTATAAATGAAGAAATTAACAAATTGTGTATCGCAGTATAAGAAAAACACAATAACAAAATCACCAAATGTACATAAAGAAATCAAATCAGTTGAAAGCAATAGATTGTATCTTATAAAATCCTTTTTCAATACGTGGAAGACATAAATATACACTGACGCAAAAATGCTTGTGTCCTCCACCTTCCCCAGAGGGCACACTCAAAATGGTCATCCAGAGCATGTTCCCTTTAAAAGCCAAGACAGGGCTAAACTCCATAAACAAATTCGTCTCACTCAATGCAGAGATCTCCCAGCAATAATGAAGAACTAAAAGATAAAAAGAAACCATAGTGCTCTCCATAACATCCACAAAGAGTTACACTCATAATGTGTTTAAAACAATGAACCTCACAGTACTGAATGACTTTGCTATAGTGTCACGTCTTACTGTAAATTTTACTAAGTCAGTAGTTATGTTCCCTGATTCCCTAAGTGCATCTCTCCGTAATTCTTTTCCATTTC